TACCACATGACACACAAAAATTGATGTTTAACTGTGTTTTTTAATATTTACTTTCAAATTAAGAAATTGAATAATGTATAAAACTAAAATTTGAATTATAATCTACAGTATGATACCAAACTTATTGACATAAATTCATGAAATAGTAGTTAAATAAAATTTTGAATGTGACTCAACAAACGTGATGACATAGGCTTTCACCCGTGACCCATCTGGAAAGGGTTAACTTAAGGCTCTTATGTGGATTTTAAGTATAGATAGGTTTATGCATTTGAAAACCTTACAGTAAAAAATAATTACTATAGTTACTATGAAGAAATGATCAAGCTTTGTGACAATTAGAAAAAAAAATCACCCTGACTAAAAACAAAAGTTCTTTTTGTTGTAAGTTTACAGACAGGTAAGCTGACCTTCATACACTTACAGTTATATTCAATATTTTATTGTTCATCTGCAGTAATGGGTTTATAATAAGAGTAATTCAGAATTTGTTAAAGCAGTTGGTGCATTACAATAGCTAATGAAGATAGGAGTATGCTTTTTTTAAACTATATTTTCTTTGTAAAGTTAATTCTTATAATTATGGCGGATTTTGCAAGAAGGCCAGTATGTTAATTCACTGAGATGATATACATTATTTTATTAGTGTGATTTGACTATTAAATTCCACATACATACTGTATATGCGTGTAATTAAGTTATAATGTGCATTATATATCATAATAGATTCCCCATTAATTCATTCATTTTTAAGTTATTTCAAATGAACATTTCATTATTCTTGTACATATTTGCATTGTTGCACTATATAAAGAAATTAAAGAATTAACCAGAAGTACATAGTGAAGCACATACGTACACAAATAAAAGTTATACAAGTGCAAGCAAAACCAATACTTAAGTAGTACACAAATACATTTACTGTACTACCACCAGCACCATATCACAGATACTCATGAATAATGGGGCTTTTCAATTTCATATTATTTATTGTTATGGGCATTATTATATCATGAGTAATTCTACTGTAAGAAACAGATGCTGGTAACTATTTATTCTGGATGCAGTAGAGGGACAGTCACCATTTTCAATGTTTTTACTAGCTTCTTCATAGTTTTCAAATTATTTGAAAATATGAAGATGTGCTTTTAATTGATATATAAGAACTGAATATTTATAGTTGTCATAAAGTTGCATGGATAAAAATTTTTTGTACTTAAAAACAAATATTAAGAACATATTTCCATATGTAAGTATGAAAATGACCTGATTATATATGTATACTTTTATATTATCACAGAAGCAGTTTTATCGTTATAATTTAATCTGAGATAATGAAAAATTTACTTACATTTTTATAATACCTATGCAATCTTCCTCATCTTTTGATCAACTTTATTTGTCAGTTTGTATTATAAAAATAAAAACTATTATATGCCATTTGACACTTTATCACTAGTTTCATTTATAAATGTCTGTTATGCACCCATAAACCATTTCTCAACTCTGCAGGTAGCCTTTTTCCAGAATTTAAAATATGCACTTCCAATATTCAAAAACCTTGTTGAAACAATAAATTTCCTAATTTTATACAAGTTATTTAAAATAACAATAGGTAGGCAAACAACAATTTATAAGCAGAGTTTTATTGATGGTGAAACATACTACATATTTTACAAAACATTGGTCTGTTTTCTTCAGAAGTAAAACTTTATGCTTATAAATCGTTCTTTGCTTACCTATTGTTATATTAGCATAACTAGCAGAACTGCCACCCTATGGGTAGCTGTTTGTGCTAGTAATTACTAATTGTAGTATTCATACAGCTGTTTGTTATAATAATTACTAATTGTAGTATTCATACAGCTGTTTGTGATAGTAATTACTAACTAGTATTCATACAGCTGTTTGTGATAGTAATTACTAACTGTAGTATTCATACAGCTGTTTGTGATAGTAATTACTAACTGTAGTATTCATACAGCTATTTGTAATAGTAATTACTAACTGTAGTATTCATACAGCTGTTTGTGATAGTAATTACTAACTGTTGTATTCATACAGCTGTTTGTGCTAGTAATTACTAACTGTTGTATTCATACAGCTGTTTGTGCTAGTAATTACTAACTGTAGTATTCATACAGCTGTTTGTGCTAGTAATTACTAACTGTAGTATTCATACAGCTGTTTGTGCTAGTAATTACTAACTGTATTATTCATACAACTGTTTGTGCTAGTAATTACTAACTGTATTATTCATACAGCTGTTTGTGCTAGTAATTACTAATTGTAGTATTCGTACCTCATTTAAAAAATTTAGAAAAGGTGAACATTTTCTAAAAAAGGATTTTTCTGGAAGTACTGCATGGGAAAAGTGTTGAAATTGTGCTGATATAAACTGTAATGTTGTTATATATTAAAAGTGGTACCCTTTATTGAAAAAAAATATATTTTTTTAAGAACTGCAATTTTTTAAAACTATATTTACAAATTACATCAATAAAGATATAATCACATACTGTCCTAGTGGAAGTTGTGTTCTTGTTGTGAAGAGAGTACTTTTATTTAAAATTGTAATCTGTGATAAAGAAATGGTTATTGCGCATATCACAGTTGTTTTTCTGTCTGAATCTTGAATATCCAAAGTGTAAAGGTTTTTTATGGATTTTTATATGTGGTGTCATTCAATAGATGTATTTTTTATTTTGGTCAGCTAATACCCAGAATTGGATAGACTTTTAATGATACTGAAATTAGAATTTTATTCCTATAAAATATCTGAGATTTTGGAGCCCATTATTGTTTTGGTTAGCAGGTGTATTATCTAATGTGCAGGAATATGTTTTGACAAGTGATGAAAACTGTGTTTGCACCATAATTAATTTTGAGTCATTAATGGTTAGGCTGCATTGTCATAATAACTTGTAACGATGAGTGTTTGTTAAACCATTTTACTTAAAAATTTGAAATTATTTTGATGATGTATACTTGTCAAAGTGTAAACATTTGAACTCTTGAATTATAAATAATAGAATATTGAACTTTTATAGTTTCTATAGATGTTTGTAAAAAACTGTATTTGATTCCATAAAATCAAATTTTATTTTTCAGTGATAATTGAAGTAGTGTAAATACAATTTAAAAAATCTTTAAAAAGTATAAGGCATTTAAACAAGCTGTTGCAAGGTAAAAAGAAAGATATAATGCTCATTAAAGAGTCTATTTGTTTTTATAGATAATGCTAACTTAGAAAAGGGGTGACTGGTATTTTGTAATAAACTGAATCCTTTAGTTTATATTTGTTTATTTGAATTTTTCAGTCAGTCATTTATCTTTTGTATTTTTCATAGACAAGTGCTATTCGAATAATGGTGTCTAGTGAGAATGCTACACAATATTCACCTGTCATGTTTGTAGTGAAGCAAGATACAGGAATTTTTTCATGGCAAGTTCCAATGGTCATGGAGAGGTAAGAAATTTTATAATATAGAAAAATTCTTATTATAATTTTTTAGTTTGTGAGTTTCTGTACATGGAGAGTGTGTGTGTGTGATATCTTTCAAAGGAGGATTATACTTTTACTGTTTACCTTCTGTGCACAGTAGGGACTACTTGCTGTTGTGGTTCTTTATTTTAGCATTATTAATGATTTCCAATGAAACAAACTTATACACTTAAGAAACTACTTTGCTGTATTATTTTTTTATGAGGGTATCAGATTTTACAGTTTTTTTGGAGTCTGTCAGTTACAATTACTGATGGTGTTGCACACTTTTGAATATTTTGTCACGTAAAGAAACCCCATATGCCATTTTATATCTGTGTCATGTTTTTTTCATCAACTTCAATAAACAATTGTAAAAAGTGACTGGAATCAGAGTATTTAATTGTATCAAATTATTAAGAGTTAACAACATAAAGTTTGTTTATAATTACACAAGTGTGTTTTGACAGAACACAAGTTACTGTTTTAAACAGTAACAAAGGATAAATTTTGATATTCGTAGGTTCGGAACACATTACCAAATGAGAGTTCGAACCTTTAATAGCATCAGTTTGCATAATGTATTGATGATGTCACCATAAATACCAGTTTATACTTTCTTGAAAGTCCTTTTATTTTACACTTAATCCATGTTAATTAAACATTAGTTTAAAAATGAAAGATCGATTCAGTTACTTCACTCTTGAGATAAATTTTCTAATAAAAATGTAAACTGTTTGTCCTAATGAATTAAAATTATGTAGGATGTGTAAAAGATTTTATAGGTTTATTTTGATTTGAAACTACTTAACTTCATGGTTTCAATTTGAAATGATGTTGGTCAAAACTGAATTGATTTTGAAATCATTTCATTTTCAAACCACATGTATTTGAACACTGGTAAAAAACTTGACTAGAGTAAAAATGCTTCAAATTAATTCTATATTTGCATAATGCCTCAAAATGATAGTCTTGAATAATTCAGTTGTTGAATAGTAGTCGACAATCTCACGAGCTGCACCAACAGCTCTGACCTCTTGTGTAGACCAGCTGCTTTCCAAGAGATAGAAGATAGGTCTTTTATTGATGTTAACACTGAGCTTCTGGTTGTATATTGTCCTGTTAATTCACCATATATTGCATTTTCTAGCTACACAGCAGTCTCATTCCTTCTGAATGTTGATGAAGACCTTCCATGACAACCATTTTTACTTTCGTAGTGCAGAGGGGTTTGATATCTTGACAGTAGAGTTGTGCCAGACTTGTTACAAGAGTCTCTCTTGTGAGCTTATTAGATTCCTTGTTTAGCTTTACACATGCATCCAGGTGATGGTCTTACCATGCTTTTCTTCTTTCCACCCATTTTGGTGACCAACCACCCTGAATTTATTGCAATACTACCTGTGAGTTAGTCACAAATATCATGTCTGTGACATTATTTTTGTTCATTACTTTCAGCATCCCAGAGGGGAGTTTGCTTTATGGCTTCTAGCTCTTATGTTTCTGCTTCTTGTGAGAAGCTTGAATTCTCCACCAGCTGTATGCAGAATGTTTTTGTTTTTTTATATCCAGTGACTTTACATAGATTGCCATGCTAATCTTGGCATTCTGGATTTTAAAGTACTTATATACAGACATACGTATGCTTACATGTATTTTATGATTTTCTTTTCAGTTGGAGACAGATTGACGTCAAAGAGTTGTCAATCCAGTTAAAAGAATGAACTGATAAGAAATACAAAATTCATCCAGTTACTTGTGTGTTCTTTCATTTTAAATGACATGACTCCAGTATGTGTACTTTTGTCTTTATGTTTACCACTTCTTCATTGGGTACATTTTTCTGTAACAGGAAGCACAGAATAAATTTTATGCACACTAATATTGCACTCACAACTTAGGTATGTGAAATAAAGTTAAATAAAAATAAATTTGTTTGCTTGTACATAAAATTAATTTACTGTAGTAGACAAGCAGTATCATTATTATAGTGATATATTAAATAAAGTTAAGTAATAAATCAAGTGAAATACATTTTGTGATTGTATTTATACAGTACATATTTCTTATGAATAATTTCCAAGTAAATATGCTGAACTTAACATTATTTTCAAACAATAATATTTTTCTTTTTTTTATATATGTATAATACTTTTTGAATTTCAGACATGAATATATACATGTCAGTAGAACCTTATGCCCTATGCAGAATTATAGGAATACTTATCGACCTGTTCCACCAGGTAACCAGAGTATATATGTTGATGTATCTACATCTTCTAAAATACCTGTGCCTTTTCTTCTAAGAATGACTACTATCCCCGAGTTTGTTCTGAAGTAAGTGTATATTCTAATAGTTTTGTGCTTTATGCACCTTTTTAAAGGAGTTTCATGTTTTTGTTGTGTTGTTTTAAACACTGTTTTCTATGTAGCAGATATTGAGTTTTGATATATTTTTGTGGTTGAGAATAAAACAGCATTCAAAAGTACAAATATATGGATTTGGAAGATAGTATAAATTTCACTAATTTCATGGTTAAGAAAAATTTATAAAAATAGTCCTTTATTTATTTAAAAAAAAATTTTGTATTTGCTTTTTGAAATAATTTCTCTGAGGGAAAACATGAGCAGAAATCTACCTTCTCTTTATCTGGGTACCCTTTCTGCACATGTCATAGGGCTGAATTATGTTCAAAATTTAATTAAACTACTTTATTATAATGTTATACAAATAATTGTGGCATCAAAACATAGCTAATAAATCAAATATTAATATTATATAAGTTTTAAGTTCTTAATTTTATAAGAAAGCATTTTAAAAAACCCTCAATTTCCTCTAGTATGAGAATTATGATATTTGCTCTCTGGGTCTTCCCTCTTCTGTAATTTATTTAACACCCCTCTGAGAAGTATGGGATCTAATGTAAATTATCATTATAATATAGTTTATTACTCAAGCAAAGCATAATTTTTATAGCCTTTAATCTTATTTGGTTACAGAGCCATAATCTAGAAAAATCATATCTCACTTGCCATGCCCACTTGTCACATCTTCCCTTTCACAAATTGCCAATAGTTTTCTCTGATCTTTAGTACTATATTACTTATAACCAATAGAAAGCCAAAGTTTCAGTCTATCAAATGATATATTATGTTATATTGTTTTCTGTACAAAGAATTTTCTATTTCACTTCCAGTTCCAACTTTACTTCCAATGGAAATACATCAACTAGCTTAGCTGAATTTTTAACTGCTCCCATCGCATACTTAGAAAGAGAGAAAATTTATGATAGTTACAGGGCATTGTCTGCTTTTTACATGTTATTATTCTGTGTTTTTTCGTGCATTATTTAATTAAATAAAAAAATGTTTATTGCAGTAGTACCATTAGTATAAAAAAGTAGTTTCCTCAACAGTCAACAGCAAAAAGAAAAAGAAGACCTGGATAAGTTCTATATTTCCTGTTTTTCAAGTGTTTTCTTTATTTATTGTTATAAATGTAACTAAAATGTAAAAATTAGAACTTAAAAAAAAAAGTAATAATAATATAATTTTTTCATGTGAACTACTTGATCACTAAGTGATTTACAACTTGTGTGGTGGTATGATTAGTTAGACATGGTTCAAAGGACAATAACATTTAAGTAGAAACAGATGTATACTATTATGAGCTTTAAGCTATTTAGGATAAACAAATGTAGTTTCATGTTATAATTTGAAGTCATTCTAGAAAGAAAAATATGGTAATTTAAGTTTATTTCATATTTTTTATGTTGGTTATGAGGTCAGACAACTTTACTGACCTTGTGTGAAGTTAGGGTAGAGAAAATAACAAATAAAATATAAAGTTTTGTTGAAAAAAAAACGTTTGAAATTTATTTAGATGGTTTTAGAGATTATGCATATGAAATTTGATAATTTTTATATGAAGAAAAGGATTTTTAATCTTAACATGAAAATCACTTTGCACTTGAAGTTGCCAACATTTTGATTCCATATATATTTTTGAAGTTTTTAGTAAAAATATTTCATTAAGAATTCAGACTTTTTGTCTACAAAAGACTTGTAATGTTTACTGAAAGCTTGTCAAATTTTGTGAAGGTACATTAAGTATTTTCAGAGTTAGAGAATGTATACCACCATGGTTACAAAGTCATGTAAAAATAGGAGCCCATTTCAATAGCTTTAAAGTTCAAGTTGTTTATAAATAATGGTCATTATTATGCATATTATGGTCCTGTTTTCTGTGTCAGTTGGAATAATATGAATACAGATATAATACTTCTAATCTGATTATGAAAAATTTAAGAACATCTAAATTGAGGTTTAAAACTTTGGTAGATATAAATTTTTTTAGATTATTGACTTTGTACAGAACAAGTTTTTATTTTGTTTCAAATATGAAAATAAAAGTTCTGAAAATAACACTAAATTAATAGGGCATGAGGAACATCTGTGGTATTTATTTCTTAAAGTACACCATTGTTAAGATCCAAGATCAGCATATAGGTTAAAACAAATCTTACTGTACTTCAGAATAACAAGTCCATTTTTGGCTATTGGCACCAATAAGTATTTGTGTAAAATTTGTAAAAAATATTAAAATTGTGATCAGATATTTTAAAGTTTATGATCCTGAATGCTCACAGAAAGTCATTGTATGTTTTTAAGATCTGTAAAATTGAAGATTTGTCTGAAATATATAGAGCACTTTTATTTTTGTAATATAGACAATAATTTTTTAGTTTCATGTCTTTGAAAAAGAGCCTAAATAGTACTGGGTTTCATGAGACTTTTTTTTAAAGATTTCTTCATACTTAAATCATAAGAGGACAAACAAAATTAGTTTTGTGGTAGCTCAACAAGATTTTTTTAAACTTTGTATTTTATTCATGAATGCATTAGATACTTTCTGGTAATGCTGTACTTCCTATTTGCAGCTTTGAGTAAAATGTTGCAAAAAAGAAATTGACTTTTCCTCAGCTGCATTTAATTTTAATGAATGTTTTTGCTTTAGCAAATTTATCAGAACAATTTTCATGTAATTTCTTCACATAATGTTAGGCAATGTCATGTAATATGTTAGTAAAAAGAGGGATTTAATTATTCTCTTTCATGTTTATTTAGAACGGGAGAGGAAATGCATGTAAAAGTTTCTCCATCTGAACCCCAATTCTTCCAGTACAACTTTCCACCTGACAAAGATCTAGTTTTAGTTCAAATTACATCAGAAGATAGCCTATGCATCACCGTTTCCATTCAGAACATTGAGGTAAACAAGCTGTTTTCTCACTTGTATATCAAGTTTTTTAGTACATTTTGATTTGGGATTTTATCTAAAGGTGTACTTGTTTTAGTTAACTATTTGAAAACATTATAAACTAAAATCATGTATTTCAGTTACTTTCCAATGTTTGAAAATATTACATTTATCATGAAATACTTTATTTTTGCTTATGCCGTATGAAAATCAAATAAGGAATTATTGAATTCCCATGCTTAATGATTAGTTTGACTCTTCTAATATCTCATAACTCCTGTATTAATCCTGTCTTCACCTTACTGAGTATTAAAATAAAATTAAAAGTTATAATTATCTCATGTTGAATGAAATCTTACATACTTTCTAAACTATTTTTTATGTAATGTTGATGTGTAGTAATGTTTTCTTTAGGTTTTACTTATTAGTAAAAAAAAATTAAATATAAAAAAAAAATTCTATGAATGAAGCATAAAAATGTTCAGAACTTGTGTCTGGATGCAGTCCATTGTTATATTTGAAGATAAATATTTAATGCATGGATGCACTTTGAATTAGTATGTATTATGAAGTTGAATAGGAAGAATATTTTTTAATATTTAAAAAATTTTTTAATATGTTGTTCATTATCATTAATATTTGCTTCAAGTACAATAACCTTCACCACAACTTTTAGCTATTCTTATTCTTGGTTTTGAATAACTTCTCTGCTTTTTATTTCTGCATGTGAACCAATATCTTGGCTATTGAACATGAATTCATCATTTTTTCTCTTGGCATTTAGGATTTTAACTTATGTTTGTGCAGTACTGTACCCTTGCAGTGTAAAATATATTTTTTCTTCAGTGTAGGTCTATTCTTCTGAGTTTTTTCACTTTCTTAGTGAATTTGGTTGTTTTTTTTACAAGAAATAGCCTACTTGTAACTATAATGTCAAGTAAGAATCTAAGAATTCTGATGTTTTTAATTTTAACTTTTTTTCTTTGAATTTATTTATAGACGTAATCCTACCTGTAAATTTAATCTGTTGCTCTTCAGAATGTGGTTTGTCTTTTTCAATGGTTCAGCTATTTTACTGGGTAGAACACCAGAGCCATAAAAGTTTTCAAGGTACAAAGACTATAGATATATATATATATATATCTTTATTTATATTTTTTCTTTTTGTCAGCCTACCTTGATATTGTCATTGCATAAAGAAGTTGGTAGATAATGCATCATGTCAGAGAGGCTATACAGGTTTTTTGTGGTTTGCATGTCATTCATAATTCAGACTAATTATTATTAACTCTGAATTTTATTGCAGATTTTAACAACTCATTTTTTGTAAATTATTACATAATCGAAGAATGTTAGATGATTTTCTGTCATGTATCTTTATGACATAAAATTTGACTTGTTTGACATAATCTTCTCTAGAAGTTGCTGTATGTCAAGTATAAGTACTTACAAATATATGAATGAAGTTTACAGAAGCATAGTGACAATGTATATGTACAATGTATGCAGCTGGCAGTCTGAGATTACAAATTTCTTTAACTAACTGTTACAGCCATTTTTATAAAAAAAAATCCATGTTCAGCTTCTCTTCCATTTGATTTTCATATAAAACTTTCATATTTTACCTTAATGTTTCTGATAAATATTCTCTGATATTGGGACAGACTTTCATATTTTATCTAATGTCATGCTTTTATAAATCCTGGAATACAATTTTTATGAATCTACTTTAAGCTTGTATATGTTTGAAAGTTTACATATTCAAACTTCACAGATCACAATTAGATGATACCATCTGAAACTCTAGAACACCTCACATTATATGCAAAATATTTCCATGTATTTCAACTTAATGACCTTCTGTGAGTCGTGTTTTCTCGAAATGTCTGGCTGCTTCTTTTGAGAAAAACAGAATTCTCAAAAATATTCTGATTCATACCACACATACACACACTATAACATCAAGAAAGAGATCACCTAAACCACACAAAACACCATCTATCTTATACAGTTTAAAAAATCTAACCTTCAGAGTGTTGTACAAGCCCAAATGACCTTTAGAGAACATGATAACAATTGTGAGTTTTCTGTTAACCCTCAAAAAGACTTTCCTTTTGCTCAACACCAGAACCAACTAACCATTCTATCAATGATATGGCTCTTTTAGGTATTGAAATTAGATTCCTATTGAAAGCAGATTGGATTGCCATTCTTCATGCCGTTGACATTTATGACATTAATTTTGATTTTGGCACCACTGACTTTTATTCTTTAATATTTTCTCTCTAAGAAAGAAACATTAAGTTTAAATTTTGACTTTTCAGTTGTTATCTTTATCTTTGTCTGTGCTACGGAATATAAAAGATATAAAATGATATCTCACTTACTCCTTGTTTTTAACAATCATTTTGTTTTCATGTTAGATTTTTTTATATTTTACATTGTCTTTTATTTGACCATATTACTATCTTGCTATTATATCTGTTTGGTATTGAGTATAAAATGAACAATTAAATAATAATAATAATAGGATATATGAAAAGGAAACAAGTAATATTGCTACGTTGGTTTACGTTTTTCTAATCTTGTCTTAAACACTCAAATTATTATTTATTTCACATGACACAGATCCAGTTGTTGAAAGTAGTTGGGTTGTATCAGGTTTTTTTTTAAGTGCATGTTTATTGATATGCAGCTGTACTTCAGAAATGCTACTTATCTTTCTGGACCACCAAGAGCTATTATGTAATTTCCTGTGCATGCCACAAACCTAGAACAAAGCTCTCACTTTTACACATGTCAAGGTGTCTTGCATCAGCCTCTGATGTAATCATCATCAGACTATAGCTCTTGGCAAACAGGAAGGTGACACATCCTCCATGCACAGTAATCCTTGTGAGCATTTGCACATAAACACTGGCTTATTCTTTTCTTGGTACTGCTTATCTTCAGACATGTTTTTTCATTAAATCTGCTGACATTTTTCACTTATTGTTTCAACCTTTCATTACTATTTGATGTGTCATTCCATGTCAAATCACTGAGGGCATGACACTCAACATCTCAGAATTTGCCAATTTTTTAACTGATGGTACCTAGCTATGGATTAAGTATACCTGCAAATATTTTTTGGCAAAATTCCTTCTCCTTCTGAAATAGAAACATTTGAATTTTACTCAAATTTGGTTAAAAATTGCTCGTGGTGGCCATTTTGGATTTTCACAAATACCCCTATGCCATTGTAATTATTTTCATAATTTTACCCAATTTGATTGAAATTGGGCCAAGATTTTCCTCCCCCTAATTCAAGTATAAGGAATCCAAATATGGAATCAGCTTTTACTTGTATCCTAAAACAGTCCCACCAGTTACCCTTTAAACCCCCCTACTGAACAATGTAGTTTACTATATTAAAAACCTGAGATGTTTTTTCCTTGTTCCAAAGTAATGGTCCTCTGATAATTGACTAAATTATAAAGTGAATATGCCTAAATTCTATTTCACATGACTATACAATAATTTGTTGAATAGAGATTAGCCTTTTTTCTATAAGGGTGATGTCAGAGAATAATTAATACTATTAAAACTGACTTTAGAATTGTGTCAATCTTCTGTAACTCATGTAGATAATATTCAGTTTTGTTATAAAATTAACCTCAATATGGTTTTAAGCATTCTTTGAAATTGAACAGCAATTATCAATATATCACGTGAAATACAATTTAGGCATATTCACTTTATAATTTAGTCAATTATCAGAGGACTATTACTTTGGAACAAGGAAAAAACATCTCAGGTTTTTAATATAGTAAACTACATGGTTTGAAGAGTATTTTCTCCAAATTTGGTGTTGATACGATTTGTCAAACATTGAATTCCAATAATTTAAAAACTGGGCATGAACCCTTTCGTAAATCTTAAATTCTATAGTAGGGGGGTTTAAAGTGTAATTGGAGGGATTGTTTCAGGATATAAGTAAAAGCTGATTCTATATTTGGATTCCTCATACTTGAATTAAGGGGAGGGAAAATCTTGGCCCAATTTCAATAAAATTGGGTAAAATTATGAAAATAATTACAATGGCATAGGGTATTTGTGAAAATCTAAAATGGCCACCACAAGCAATTTTTGACCAAATTTGGATAAAATTCAAATGTTTCTATTTCTGGAAGGAGAAAGAATTTTGCAAAAAAACTTGCAGGTATACTTAACCCATAGATAGGTACCATCAGTTAAAAAAATGGCCAATTCTGAAATGTTGGGTGTCAAAATGGTTTTTTTGCTTGGTGATTTTACATGGAATGACCCTGTTGTGTTGACTTTCTTTTCATAATTTTCTTAATTATATGAAAAAGAGATACTAACTTTTAAGCTTATCACTTAAAACTTTCCTTTATATTTAATAAATATAAATATTATTTATATTTTATATTTATATTTACCTTTAATTTGATTTTCTTTTCATTGTTTAATCTAACATAGGATTTTGGCCAGTATTTTTCAAGGTTATAATTAGGCCCATGTACCATTGCCATGCCTGGCTCATTTTCTTTCTTTCTAACTAATACCATTAAAAAAAAAAGAAAACACCATTATTTATTATCATAATGGTAATTAAAATGTAAAAATAGTGATCTCATTAGCTTAGCTAAGGTTCAATTAGGTAAAATAAATAATAATGATAATATAATAAAAATGTTTCACGAAGCATGCAGGTGAAAAGCTTGTGAATAAAGTAATTCGGTAGCGTAACATGAGCTGCACATTCCCCAAGTGATTAACAACTTATAATGGCACACATAGCAGTTAGACACAGTTCAAAGGGAAATCAAATTTTAAGCTACTTAGGATAAATGAATGTAGTTTCATGTTACATTTGAATTCATTCTAGAAAGAAAAAGGTGGGAATTTAGAATTATTTCAATTTTTTTGGGGGGTACAACCAACCTTGTATAGAGTTAGGGGAGAGAAAATAACAAATAAAATATAAAGTTTTACTGAAAACAAGCATT